AGCGGGAGAGGAACTTGCAAAGAAACCCGCAACACTTACGTCATTGAGGTCGGCTCCTAGACATGTCAAAAACTACCAAGCCGCTTCTTAGTACCACTCAGTTAGATGTCATCTCGCTCGCGTGCTAGTGAATCCTCTTTACACCAGATTGGCAGCATGACCAATCACGTATTCTGTATCCCATTGACTGATTACCCTCGACACGCCAACGAAACCGCTGGTGAACCAGTAATATCGATCGCTTCAGTTGGTAGTTTACCCGTTCTTTTGCACCTGTAACCCAGTAAACTTCTAATGTGCTCTGGACCACATTGGTCCGCTGCGTATCACGCGATGCATTTTGGGGTCGAGTCTCCGGCCACACCAAAGAGATGACTAACAAATGTGACGCTGTTCGCGCGTGCAGTCGTATGAGCGCTTTCGGTCGTCGATTGGACGGCCTGAATTCAGCGAAAACGCCTCGGCTTTACTTCAGGCGCGCATTGGTGCGGCACAGAATGTCCTGGTACTTTTAAACAAGAGCATATTTTGGAACGATTGTTTTGTTTAAAACTACCTGCAGGCTGGTAGTAGGCTTGCAAAATCGCTCCGTTTGTCGGTCGCATATCTGTTGATCGCAATCGGTGTACCAGCACACTTCAATGGTGTCGAGGGTGATCAGCCAATGGGAGACATAATACGTGCTTGGTCATGCTGCCAATCTGGTGTAAGGAGGTTCCACCAGCACGCGAGCGAGATGACATCTAACTGAATGGTACTAAGAAGCGGATTGGTAGTTTTTGTTGAGCTGCAACCCTTGCAGGCTGTTGGAAGGGAAGCTTTGTAGTTTGTTTCCAAGTCGATAATAACCTGTGTCACGGCATGCACACATGACTGCTTCTAAGACTAGCTGAAACAGTGGTCCATAGCAGGATTAGTGGGCGCGGTTGCCTTTGTAAATGATTGCAAACACATTGTAGGAACGCCTGTGGGTGAGACACCAATGTTTGTTTGTTTCAAGTACTCACCTGAATTACCAGAGTAAAATGACTGCGTCGCCACTAATTATCATCCTTGCGTTTTTTTCTAACAGGACGATGTGGCATGTATAAACACTGTAGTCATTGTAGACCCTTTAGATGTTTCTTTGTTGAGTAATGCCGATTTCATGAGGATAGCATTCCAGTCCATGGACGTAATAGGGAGGTTCCATCTGCATTGACTGTGCTTCTAATGGTTCCATTTGGAGAGCCACTTGTCAAAGCGTCTCAATACGTATGGGCGATTATATGGAAGTGAAGCCTAATTATCCAAAGAATACGTAGGTTCCTATGACCTTTACATAGCGCGATACATGGAGACACTGAAGCGATAACTGACTAGCAAGCTAACGTAGAACTTTCGTTGTTCAGCTTCAGGTTGGTCTACCAACTTCAGTGGAAACAATGTCCCCCATGACCGTCGCAATAACAATCGCACAAAACTGTATAATCACCTAGCAGCCATTGCTGATCTGGGGAATACCAGTTAGATTATTGTCTCTCTACGTCACCATGGGCGACCATACAGAAGTGAAGCCTAATTATCCAAACAATACGTAGGTTCCTATGACCTTTACATAACGCGATACATGAAGACACTGAAGCGATAACTGATTAACATAGTTGCCTATGGGTATGGAGACAAACGAACACACACTAACGTCGTGTCGCCGCCACACTTGGAATCCTCCTACTTTGAACAATATCCTAACATTCAATGACACTGTCATCCAACCAGGGAACTTGCAATCAGCACACAACGCAAGCAATGCATTAGCGATATATATCTAGACGATTCATTTCAGCGTAAAACCGGGCTCTGCAACTTGAACGGCTACAAAATTTCCATGTGTACGCTAGTTCTACGCTTATCTAATCTCGTTCGGGACAATTTTCCTATTCCCCGTCGCAATCAACTGCAATTGTTGGAATGAGGTCGTCGACTAAGCATTGCTTGTCCGGTGAAGGCGAAATCACCCACAAAATTGCCATACATCACCTCTGGTCCTCCGCACAAATACTTGGCACGCAACCCTTAGCGAAGTACTGCGGCCTACGCGACTTCGCACGAACAGACATGCGCCGTTTGCAACACCGTTCACTCACTCACTCTTAACCATCCACTTTCCCATGAGTTAGGACTGCAACCAACCAAGAACAGTAACAATGGTGACAAAATGTCCGCGGCTACTAAAGTACTGTACATATGCTGCCGAGCATGTAACGCCCTTTATTCCCTCCCGTTTATCGAGAAAAAGAGGAACGTTATATACACAAGTGTATTAGTTGAACGGCTGCAATCTATAAATCGGCAAAACGAATCACCCATCCGTAATTCTTCGCAACATGTCTCACCATCTGCTCGCAATGGTGCCGCGTAATGCAACCTCTGGCTGTAAGCAACACCTGCTCGAGAAATCGTGTGCGCCACTCGCCAGTGCAAAGAACCCCTTCTGGATCCCCTCTAAGCATTTCCGCATACCTTCACGTACGTCTTCACAACACCACACGCCTTTGATAGGGTTTAGTGAAGGAGAGTACGGCGCTAGTCGTAATAGCATTCCTGCTTGACACCCTTCGTCCTTGAAAACCTCCTGCACATCTGTGTGGCACGGTGCGTTGTCACAAAACAGAACACACTGATCAATAAAAGCGGCTCCCTGGGAATCCAGAAGTTCTCGAACCCACTGCGTGTATCTCCGCTTGTTGAAGCTGCCTATTAAAAAGGAAAAGGCTATCAGTCCCTCACTCGTCATTGCACCCACAACGTGCACATTCTGCCCGTGGCTGTTCGCCACCGAGTTCCCCTCCTTGAACGACCCCTGGCGCGACTACAAAGTGGATTGAAATTGGTCTCATCAATCCAAACGGGCTGTCTCCCTTCGGCCTACAACTGTAGCAGCCTCCGTCGTATTTTGTTCGCCAAAGTGTTCATGGGTTTCGGGACTGTGTGCAATTTCTTTAGTGTGATAAGACGACCGTCAAGGTATCTGGAAACTGTAGTGATACTAGCTTCAACGTGGAATTCAGAGAGTTGATAAGGTAACGGTCGGTTCTTCCGATACCCACTCGATCAGAGCATCGACATGACTTTCTGTCAGGGATCTGCGGCGAGCCCCACCGTGTTGCCCCCTCCGTTTCACCGGTTCTAACATCCGTATCCAACTACGGCACGTGCTCACTTTCACATTAAACAATGCAGCAACATTCATCCAACCACCCCCTTGCTCATAGGCACTCAAAATTCGTTCTCTCACCTCAGGCGAGTGTCGCACGTACGGTCCTCTTCGTATAATGCGGTCTACGCCAGATCCACGTCCCATCTTAGCTGGCCAGCAGCCAACCGCAAACCAAAGAAACCGAGGTGCCATCACGACGTTACCTATAAATATTGCGCACTGCAATTTACATAGCACATTCCTTTATCGCTTAACCCACTCCATAGACTTACCCTTGCTATTTGCTTAAAGACGGTGGCTGTGATGTCATTGGTTTACTTTCCTTCCAAAATGTCATGCCGTCTAAAACCACCTCTAGGCGGGTTGCAGGAGTGCCATTGCTCATTCAGCTTTGGGTGTGCAGTGTCCAAGGCACGGCGCATGCCTGACCAACCGCAAATGCAGGCCTGTCTGACTTTTTCAGACCTCAGGGACTGCGGAATACCGATTAGAAGATTGCCTGTTTACGCCACCATGGTTAAGCCGCTGAATAAGCCACCACCAAGTAGCGGCTAGCGATCACTAAGTGTAGACCGCTTCATGTGCTGGTTAGTATTTCTGTCCGCATTGGTTACGTCTTAAGCTTTGGATAATGTGGTAGCTAGGATCTCCTCCTTTGACAGGCATCACAATTTGCCCATTGGACGGTTTCAGGTTGGAGACCAATCATCGAGGTTTACTTCAGATGGGCATCAAGACAGAACAGAAGGTGGTGCTCGACCACTTTCATTGGACTGTCTGTCGCTTATGCTGGCGGCTTCTAACCGGTGTCCCATTGGTTTACGTCCCATGACCAATGAGAGTGTCAACGACGCCAAAACAGCGTTCGCGGCCTCGCTAACTTGAAGGTACTGCACGCGATTTCGAAAATGTGCCACGCTAAGCTTGGTAAAGTGCGCTAACATGCGTGTAAAATGGTATAGATGCGCACTAGCATTGAACGATAAGGGGGTGGAAACAGGGCTTTGCTCACCAACCGGCTGTAAATTCAGAGCCTGAGATGTGAATGTTAAGCGAAGTCAGTACATTTTCGGACGAACGCAGTGGACGTGGTCGGAACACTGGATCGCGCCCCTTTGCTTGATAGGGCGCGTTGTGAATGGAGTCGGAAAAGTTCCGCAGAAGGCTTGAGTGGACAAACGGGATGTCGTGGATGTAATTTTCGTGACTATCGGACCATAGTTTTAGCGCTAAAGATGCAAGCCATTGCGCTAAGGAAGCAGTCAATCGAGAAATAGTTTAGTTAAAGTGAATAAAATGTCGCCCGCACATGTTGAGCATAATCGCGATGATGAGGAAAAGCGGAGAACATGTGTGTTAAAGCTGGAGTCAGGTTTAACGCTACGTTATATTGGGCATAGCGGATGAACAACGTGTGCGGACTAATGAACACAGGCTGACAACATAAGACGCAACGATGGTGAACGACCAATTAGAAACTGTCGCAACTGAATGCACCTCAAGTTTCTGCGCAATGTAAATGATATTAAGTTTTACGAATAACAGCATTGATCGTTTCAGACTTTGTCATGACTCATGGAGAACTATGCGACAGGTAACATCAGAGTCAGTTGGGATCCAATTGAATGGTCCCCGAAACAGGCCCGAAAACCAATCTCATGACCAGAGGCCGTTAGACTAAACGCGGAGGAGGGTGTGAATGTCCACCCTGCATGCAACGATCAGAGATGGGTTGTTCTGACTAACAAAACCGCAACCCAGTCTGCGAAAACCAGACGCAGGTGGAGAAGACAATAGCAGTCTGAGTTGAATGTCTTCCGGTAGAACACCAGACAAACAAACCACTAACATTAGCAAGAGTGAAGGGGACGAATCCGTGGAATTTCGAGCAAGGTTTATATAACGTACATGTAAGGTCTTGGAAAAAAAATCAAAAGCTGTCTGATTGATAATGTACCTGGAAAAAAGTTACACACAGTCGAGTAAGCAAACTGAATGTTGTTTCACAGTAGCTAAATAACACGGGCCATGCGCAACAAATCTCTCTCACAGAGAGAAGGAGCGTGGGCAAATCAGTCAAAGTAGGAAAAATAAGAGAGCAGATAGGTACAACCACGATGCTGTGTTGAGCCAACCAGATCAGTAGTGTGCTTTAGGAGCCATCTCACCTATACGAGGAAGAGGTGGAGATAGCAAGGTGAGCCGACAGCGTTTGGGGGAACGCTTAGGTGTCTGGGAATGGAGTGGGGTACATCTTGGGTATGAAGCCATGCACACAGATCATCAGTGGATTCACAAAAACCAGAAAGGCACACAATTGCGGACCGAATAAAAAAATTCCGTGGTCTGTGTCAATGCACATATATGTACAAACATGTTTACACAGGCGCGCCGCATCTGACATGTAAACAGGAATGGTTGGGACCGAAAGCGAGAGAGTACAGAATCTTGTGTATGTGATAGGGACTATGATGAACGCCAATGAGTTCGGTAAAAAGTAAGAGAACGTCGTAGTCGAGGTGTTCGGGACAACACCAACTGTACATCTTTCAATGTGGCTCTGTGCACTCTTGACGAGTGGGCGAGGGAGAAACGGCTCGAGGTGTCCGGCGCGGTCAACGCATTGGATAAAGTGTGTGTGGAGACCACAGAAAGTGAGCTTGTTTGTGACAATTCTGTACTCGAGCGACTCAGAGGGAAACTAGATGCGGCAGGCAGGGAGGCGATACGGTTGGTGCTCACTAGAGATAATCGAGGATGGGCAGAACCGCTGGGTATACCGTCCACCAGACTGACTAGAGTACTGCTGGAGAGAGACGAGTCGCTCGGAAGTCCGGGGGCAGATTCGTCCACTGTGTCGAGGCGACGTTTTCGTTGAGGCCCAATCGCGTGCAGAGCGGTCAAATTGGCCTGATTTTGTTTCTCACGCTCGTAGTCTTCAGTAGCAATCCGACGGGCCATCTCCCGCACGCGAACCTGATCCGGATCTTCGTTACGTGATCGCGACTAGAAAGCAGAGAACGAGTAAATAGATGAGAAGCAGTGAGAAGGAATGTTTCATATATAATGCGTAAACCCTGGTGATGGAAGAGGAAGACAAAAGATAAGTACAACACATCACACAGAAGTATGCCAGGTGTTAGTTAGGGAGGTATGCGAGGTGTGAGAACGAGCTGCTTTCTTCTGACTTATGGGAGCCAAGTACGTGGATGGCGAGGCAGGGAAAGTTGAATCAAGTAGTCATCAAAGAAGAGACTAGCTTAACGGACTGTGAGTAGTGTCCCTGGCGTCTTAACGGTTTTTTTTGCGCAGAGATAAATACCTCCTCACCCGACTGACTATCTCGCTTCGCGACGCAGAGGGACTGTACAACGGGAGCATGTTGATCGTAAGGAGTCAACAAAAACCGCGTGTGGTTGGTTCCGCAGATTTGTATTATGGGGTTGCAACTCTCACTGTACCCAAAGCAGCGGTATAAAGTTGCAATGAATAGGTTGTATCAGGATACCCCTCTGGTCGATGGATCGAAAAGCTTGGGCACATGTCGAGTTTGGGATAAGTAAAAGGTAAAAACTGGCCGTAATAACTCAAGATGATAGTGAAACTCCGAGAAACACCATAATCAGACGATTGTAGACACACTGTTTACGGTCATGGTAAACAGTCCATTCGAAGCGGATAGTAGGAGGGCCGGATGGTTAATGGAGGAGAGTTAGTTGATGAACAAGACATAGAAGTCTAACAGATGGAGCCATCTCTAACAAAGTAGCGATCTCAAGCTGCCATCACTGGGGAACCGACTGTCAGCACCAGAAGAGGCAATACTCCTCCAATCATTATCCCTCAAACATTCTCGAAATTACAGCGGCAGTAGTGCGGAAAGGGACCGCTGTTTTTGATACGTAATGGATTACTGTAGCCAACAAGTGATAAGATAAAAGTAATGATTCAACTGAAACGCCGTTTAATCAATAAATGCGATTGAGATTTAATGCAGTGCAACTGCACTAAAAATTGCGCAGTAAGAAGAGCAGATGACCGGTCAGACCTATCTCAAAAATAACGCGGACACCCACTGTCTGATTTCACGACTGAATTAAAAGTGTGCGGCTTCCTGCCACTTCAAACTAGTGTATCCACGCTGTACAAATTCCAGTTGGTAAATGCATTTCTTGGAGCACTAAAGCTCCATCCACATGGCCTACTAGACGACACCGAGGGCTCATTCACGGTGGAGCCCAACTGGAGATTGTGTGGTGCGCGCGTATGCTGCGCCACCTGAGCTGCAAATTGCCATTTTCGCATTATCGTTGTAAAATCACAGTTGAAGTCACGTTGTGCGTACGGTAGCTAGAGATTGCTGGCAGACTCTTGCCTCAGACATATGAGCGACGCAAAAAGACTCTCATCAAGCAGTGGATCACGGCAGTGAACAAAGTCAATAGAGACAACAGACAGTAAACGGAGCAAGTTCTTCTTTTCAATACTTTCACACTTCTATGTAGCAAACTGCAAACGATGCCGGTCGCGTAAATGTGAATATGGGTACCATCAACCATCGGGGTAGGATGATCCATCTCTGAAACGAACTCACGCGCGTACTGCGGTGATAAGAGATGAGGAAAACGTAACGAGCAGACAGAATGACCAAAGAGCAGGTGGCATAGCGATCAGCGGCAAGTTAAACTAATAGGAGACGCGAAAAGTCACCAATTGGAGAGCGCACATTGATGATGTGAGTTTAATGAGTGACCCCGAAAACTTTGGCTTGTAAATTTGTCAGTAAAAACCCACCACATTCGCCTTAGTCATCGCTTGATCTACACCGGCTGAAAATTAGTGCGCACAATCAACATGAACAGAGTGGCGTCAACTGCATGGCTAAAGAAGGGGAAATCGGTGGTAAACACTAGAGGAGATACAGCATGTTTGTTACTCCAACAGATCCATTGCCCGTCTCCATATGATATGTAAGTAAAAACTTAACCGATCACCTATGCAGAATACTGGAGAGTTTGAAAAGTGAGTATCGTCGACGATCCACTTCCTTGTAGGTTCGAACATTTGCCCTCCCCTTGCTTATCACTGCTAATTTATAGTACCACCTCCCCGATTTGAAAAGCTCATCAAGTACCCGTGCAGACACTAATACATCCGTAGCTTTCAAGTCTGGACTAACACTTTTCATCTTCAGTGAGCTTCTATCCTGCTGCATTAAAGTGCACATAACTATACGTTTTCTCAGCCAACTGCACCCATATCGTTTCGCATTTTTCCTTAAGGAAATTATGTGCCTCCCGAAGATCTATGAAGATGGTCCCTAACGCTATCAAATTGCGATGATTACCAACGGCAGCGGCTGTTTCCATTTCCGAAGCACGATGAGACCACCAGGACTCGCCGTCTCCAGGCTAACATGGAGTTTTGCCCTGGGGCTTTTGCGATTCGCATTGTATTTGCTTCCAGCCGGAAAACGTCGGTGGGCATCCATAAGTTCCAGAAACTTTGTAGAGACCCAATGTCCAGGTTGGCAAGGGGATTTAACACATGAAAACATGCCTGCTGATAGTAAAATCTGGCGACAATGCGACCAGTGAGCTTCAATGATGTTTAGTGAGCGTGTTCTCAGTCAGGATGCCAGCGTAGTTTGATACACATTCAGATCACCCGGCTTCGCCAGTTGCTTGGCGTATACGCGGTCAGAGAGACGTTGCGGAGGTTCGCCGAAAAGCACCCGAAGGCACGCACACAAGAGCGTGATCGGAGTCCATGCTCGTGCTCCAAATCGAGCGAAAGTTTTAGACAGTCTCTCCAGCGGTAACTGATCACTATGTCATCGATGTGAGTTCAGGGTTGGTGGGCGCTAAGTCACTTTTTTGCGGGTGTTGTGTCGAAAGTTAGTGCTCGCGAGAAATAGACGACCACCTTCACACAGGTGTAGCAACCGCTCACCGTTATCATTACGAGAGCCTAGGCTATGTTGGAGGCCCAGATGAGGCTTATCAGATGACACTTCTCCGACTTGGACGCTTAGATCCCCAACAAGTACCACAATATCCATAACTTTTATGTAACGAAGATCGTTAAGTTGCTTATAGAAATCATCTTTCATCGAATCAGGGCTGCAGCTTGTGGGGGCCTAAGCCACAATAACAGACAGGCACCGCTTGTCCCCGTGCGACTTCGAAGCTATAAACGAGCCAGCCAACCTAACTGCGCATATCCGGCTTTTGACTGGGATCCAATCGATCAGGACAGCTTCAGCCCGGAGACTCGAAACAATGCCGACGCCAGCTTGACCCACATATGACAGACAGGCGCAATGAGAATGTGCCGCCAACATTGCATGTGGGGGATAGGAGAGTACACACGGAGCTCGAATCTTGCAGACGGGTTTCCGATAAACAGCAATTACCGATCGAGTGGGTCTCAAGTGTTCGGGCGAGTGCTGTCTGTTGGTCAATCTGTAGCAAAGTGCGCACATGGAGGCATGCCAGTCTTAGGGAGACTCAAGGACTCCGAAGGGAAACGGATGAACTGACGCTGTCTGTTTAGTTGAACATGGACTTGTCAACTGGATTGGAGCGACGCCCTGTGATTATGTGTGAGTTGAAACTAGATGACAAGCGACTATTGAAGCTAGGTGGGGGAGGGCCAAGAAGTGGTAGATTAAACCAGGAGATAAAAGTAAAGTTGGAGTGGGACGCTAAGGGTGAAAAAGCGCAAGAGAAGGAATAAGAAGGCGGGAAGGCCTGAGCAGTAGCATCCAATCCCTTATCCACACTGCTCAATGCAGCAGATGGAGCGCCGTTGATAATCCTCTGTGACGGCCAGAGCATCAAGAGATTGTTAGAGGGTAAACTCATGGTGTATTGCGTGGACAGGATACTGTCAGGTTGCCCAGGCCTAGACAGGAGAACGAATAAGGTTCTCAACCAATGCATTTGGTTCAAAAACCTTACCGCAAGGCAACGGGGTTTTGGCATTGGACTACAGGGAGCGCGTTTTATGGAGTAAGGAGCTACCAGGAGGATGATTTTGTCTGGCCTCTAACCATTGACCAAGGTGGTATGAGTGGCTCTGAAGGTGCATGAAGCACCACCCATCCTAGCTCAATGGATCACTGAGGCACACAAACCATCGCACCATCTTAAGGTCTAATCTCGTCGGGAAATAAGTTGATTTCCTGCACCCTGGGGCTACTTGTCAACACGACATATGTGGAGAGAAAAAAATTAGGACCAATATTGATAGATTAAGGGCCTCAACAATCTCATCTGTCAAGATGCGAGATACCACTCAGTTGCCTAATTAATGGCATACATATCTGCAAGCATTTCTTATCCGCTCTGCACATGGTTAGCTTCCAAGGGTTCAGCATAGATTAAACATTTGTCTTCAGGAGATCGGTGGAGATTTATTTCATCCTATAGTATTCCATAACGTTCAAATTTCACACGATCTTACAAATCCATTCACTTTTACACATTTTGGCTAAGCACACTGCGAGATTTGAGGATTTTTTGATAACTTGCAATAGAATACTCCTTACGTGTTCTCAACCTTACTTATCCCTTGCAAATTTCGAGGCAGGGTGAAAAAATTTGCTGCAGTGGCATAGGGAGCAGAGCGGGGCGTACGTGCTAGGGGGTGGCATTTACATTGAGGGAAAGTCACTTAAAAGGATTATAAAATAATACAATACTCAACGATATAATGGCTTTTTAATTCTTATTTCTATGCATTGTTAATCTGCGCATTGAGATCGTTTTATTGATAAGCATCAAGCTTCCATCCTTCTTGCTTTTTTTCGAGTTTTTGTGCGAATTTTCATTCCGTATAGAGCAAGAGGAGTCAAAAGAGTGAAGGCGTGTTATTAAAATGAATCGGAAGTGGCAAAAACGAAGGGCAACAATCATGCTGAGACCGAAGATAAAGTCGATGCTGCGGAAGATGTGCGCGAATTCGAAGAAATGGAAAGGCAGCTACTAATAGGATTGATAATAGATACAGCAACCGATTTTACGGACATCGGTCTGTGGGCTGTTAAGATTGACCATCAAATTCGCACTATGATTGTCCGGCTGGGACCGACTGCTATGTGACACTGATCATGAATTCAAAGTAGCGCGACCTGTAAGGTGTAGTAGCTAGGAAGCTGTTTCTCGAGATTTGCGGAACGGAGAGTGAAGATTGCGAACATAACTGATGTATTCTGCTCTTACCACCGACTGTTTTTAACTAAACAGCATAGTTTTCTGCTGATGAGGACTTAAGAAATTGGTGGAAAATACAAACATATATGAAAAGAAAGCTAGTAATTTGCATGCTTAGACATTCCTCAAGTGGAATGAGGTAAAGACCCGGCTAACTGAAGGGGCAATTGACAAAATAGAGCAAAAACCGAGTGAAAATGAAACTAAGATGTGGCGTAAAATGTGAATTACTGGCACTACGAGATCAAAGAAAATATGACTAGCATGATGAAGAAGGCAAGGAGAATAGAGAAATTTTTTCAGAATTGATACGCTTGAAAAGTACAGCAAAAATATGAATTGGTAGATGCAAGCATTACGTATTGTCTCTTCAATACTAATAACAATGAGCGATGAGAAAAAATAGCAAACAGCGGATGTGACTTACCAAAAAACAAACTTGAGGATCAAGATGAGAACCAATCGATCTTTGTGTCCACGGAAGCCTGACGCTGATGAATAACTGTTTGTGCATGTACAGCATTGGCTGCGTTCGACTAATTGCGATAGTCTCAGCGGACCAAAGTAATCGCGGATTAGAGTGCTGCAGCAAAATGTTGAATGTGGTATGGAGCCGGATCCGGTGACTAGTAACCAATAGGTGTTTACCTATCGAGGATGCCGGTGGATTACACAACGGCAGAGTTTTAGAAGTTTGAAGCTGCTCGTTTATCCCACGCAGAATCCACTTCGGTATGTGTTCTTTGATCCGGAAAGATAATGCCCTATCGGTTCTACCAATGTAACTGGCTACACAGTTACATGTGAACTGGTATACACAATGAGAGCTGGTGCCGATTGGCAGATTCCTTCTGTGCACAGCAGCAAGGAATCTCTTAGTAATTCGGCCGGATTACTGGTCTCCGGATCCGGATCGCTACCACATTAAAAATTTTGCAGCTGCAGGTGCACAAACAGTTATGCGTCAGTCTCAGGCTTTCGTGGGCATAAAGACCGAGTAGTTTTCATCTATTTTGATCCCCAAGTTTGCTTCTTTTTTGGTCACATCCACCATCTGTTGATGTTTCGCATTGCTTATTGCTACTGGTATTGAAAAAACAATACGAAATGTTTGCATCTACCAAATGTCTTCTTGCTATACTTCTCAAATTGCTGAAGGGAATTAATAGCTTTCATTCAATTGATATATTTGGCGGTCCAGTATGATCCAGTGCTCTATTAACACCTGGTGACAGCTAAGCTGGGAAAGAAAATCAAAAATGTCTGTCTCTAGAAGTTCGAGATGAATCTGAGCATTTTGGCAAAAAAGTGGGAAAGAAAAACATCGATAAGACTAAGGAAAATAAATATTTTGTTTAATTTTCGATAGCATTCCAGGTGTATGGCACAAAAAAGTATATGAGTGTGGTGCTGCGCCAAGCAAAAATGAATGAAAATGAAGTGAAGGTGGAGGACTCGTTTCTCCATTTCATTGAGCCAAAATGTAAGAGAATAGGAAATATCCGGGCATATTTTGTGAACTTTATTGGCTCGGAAGAACAGTCAAATTTGATGGAGTCAGTAACATTCTGGGGCAATTTTGGAGGCGCGGTGTGATTAATCGAGACACGTTCGTTAGTGTCTCAAAAATCCGTTAGGAACCCGAAAGCAATTATTGTCTGCTTATTTAGTGCGTTAATTCTAGACGCTGTTAGTTACGCCGTTAGAAATAGTTGCAGCTACTGTTTGTAAAAAGTCGTCAAATGTAAGATAACATGATCAGCCCTCTTGCAGCGGACTGCCGCGCGTTGTCGAGAAACAAACTGTCTTACCTTGGCAGCTTTTAGAATCAGATCTTTCTCCAATTCGAACTGGCGCATCTGATCGTGTTCGTCTAACCGTTGAAGGAACTTCAGCTGTTCACGCGTGTTATCAAGCTGTGTTAATCGAGGATCGTCACCAAGACGTTCCAAGCGATGAGACACGACTATGCTCAATCGCGTCAGGATGGAATTCATAAGGGATTGCAGACCATGGGACAAGCAAGTGATCGCCTCCTCGCTCAGTGTGAGGTTAGGCAACTGAGCACTGAGGACAGATCGAATTTGACTGGGAGGAAAAAAAGGTTGGTCTTTCGATGGGGATAACAGACAGATCCGACTGTCTTCGCTGCCAGAAAGTTCCTGCGTTCGATCTGTGACCAAAGTGCGATCTGAAAGAAGTGTGGAAGCTGAAAGCTGGGAGCCGAGGCGAGCGCTCGTCAAAGGCAGAGTAGATGGGGAGCTCAGTGGTGCACCCAGCTTGGTCCGCACCAAAGGTGCTATGGTGGGAGTAGGTCTTACTGCTGCCAAGTTCACGGTAGCGCTACCAGAAGCGGAAGGAGCAGGGGCCAAGATGGGCCGAAGATTTGAATAAGACGACTTCACGGTAGTCGGTGTCTGAGTGAGTCGAGTTGTGGCGACCGAGGTCGTAGCAGCATTGGAAGGAGTCATAACATTGCTTAGCGTTTGGGCAAGTCGGTATTTTGGGACTGATCCAGCGCTTGGCGCCGGTAACGGGGTCGCGGGCATTCCAGTCGCGGTGAAAGACGTGCGAGGAGGCGCTGGAGCGAGAAGGGGTGGTTGGCTGTGATACGAACGATTCGGAGAAGTTGTAATCACTGCGGAAGGGACTGGGGAGGAGATGGAGTTCAACAGAGTGCCCACAAGGCGTGGCTGAGATCCCGCAGCACTCGGGACGGATAATCGGGAGCCACTCAAAGTCGAGGAGTTGGGGCCGGCCGGGAAGCAAGCCGTGACCGGTGCTCTAACTTGAACAGTGACTGGACCGGGACCAGACATGGATAAGGTAGCGCAAGCGGCGGGAACGGAGGAAAATGGGCTACTGAGAACATCCTTGATCAGGGGCCCAGTTGGTGGGTTTATGTTGGACAAACGACAGGCGCCGCTGGCAAGATCTGCGCGTAGAGCGTCGATATTGTCCTTAATGAATGGTCCGATGTCTGTAGATGTATTTGCACTCTTCAAGTTGGCCCGTAGTTGTGTACAGAATGAGTTGGCGTCTAGTTCTGCATTCTGAAGAGAGCAACAATTTGGCAAAATGGTGGAACAATAGCGAAATGGATACGTGTGAGGGAAACAACGCACTGACAGGAAAAACAGGAACCAGTGGATGAAAAGGATAGTTTTCTGGGTGAGCTAGAAAAAGAATTAAAAAACCTGACCAGTGACTTAACAAGACCAGACAGTCAATTCCATGGAACCGTTTTACATCTGAGCCGGTTGACTAATGACAACCACGTCTGCTTCACAGACAACAAATAAATCTCCCCTTCTGTTTGTCTCAGTCCACAAATACAGTTGTTGAATTGAAAATAAATAAATACCTCGTCTTCCACTACTACTTTTAAAAACACCAAAATGCATAGATATTCAGCCTAAATTAGATGTCATGTTCTATAAGTATGATTTAAGTTTTAATGTTTCTCTTATCAGCACACAACTGGTGTTTGTCCTGCACCTAAGAAAACGGAAACTTGGTTCCGTCCGAGCTCTTTGTCAGAACGCCACGAATTATTCGGTGACCATTCGCAGCTTTGAAGTGGACAGCCATGGTTGTTAAAAATGATTTTTATTTCTGTCTAACAGAATATGCTGTGGATATTATACGGAACAATGATAAAAATATGATCATGCCGAAAACGGGCATGTCTCGTAAACCCGAGACTATACATCATTAGTATTAGAAAGAGGGGATGCCTTTTCACGCGCCTGAGTCCAACGATCCCTCCTCAGGCACGATATGAGCATGACGTAGTGATTTTACAGAGCCTACTTGATAGACCCCTCGATGTGGATGAGGACGAAGTGAAAGTGAAGCAAGTCATCCGCCTCGGCAAAAACACTGCTGAGAAGGACCGATCTGTGCGGGTAACTTGTCGACGAGGCCAGCCCGAAGCTAACACTACCTCGGCTGAGTAGACTGGGATGCGATAGGGTGCATATTCGTCCGGATATCGACCCAGCTGACCGGGAACGCCTCATGTGCCATCATCGAGCTAAGGCGCCGAACTGGTGAGGGAGAAACAAACCCACGCATTGTAAACTTTCGGGTGATTACAACACGAACGCGAACTCAGATAAATCGGTCGCTCACTTCTCAGGCAGGCCAGGTTATTTTTACGGCAGCCTGCGTGTAGACTGTACCAACGTGTGCAGTCTTATGAACAAGAGCGATGAGCTCCACCGCTTCGTTGCCTTCCAGCGACCAGATGTAACTGGACTCGCAGAGACGTGGTTAAACGATGAGGCACTCACACAGGAAGTTGAGCTTAGCTGCTACTCGTGCTTCCGCTGTGATAGGCCCTCGAATGCCCAAGATGGCGCCTTGCTCTACAACAGGACTTCTATGTGGGAGACCCGTGAGCGCCCACCGAAGGGAACATGGCCTACGCGAGTAGTTGTGGTGATCGATCCCTCCCAGGTGCGCAGAGCTGCTCGTGGGTGTGTTCTATCGCAGCCCCCTGAGCCGTTGTTAGGATTGGCTACCACATCTCCGGGATCACATGAATTTTCCCCATTTTCCACTCAGGCGATTTCGATTTTCCTCAAATACGCTGACCTGAAGTCGAACTTATCACCGGTTATCGTGAAAGAGAAGTAAACTACGCTGCTATGGTACCTGAAACTTGGGCAGCATAACACATTTGCCAACCGACGCGCATAATACCGCACTGAACTTCACCGTGTTTAGATCTGATGTTAACCATCTGTTAACAACCTGTGTATGACATTCGTACTCTGGGGCCTCTAGCGACAAGGGACCACATAGTTTTATTACCATAGAGCTACCGTTGCAACAATCCCACGCACTGCACCGAAAGATAGATTTCGATGGCCTGACTCAAGTTGTCAGCCAAGTGAATTGGTTTACGTTGCAAGCCACATCTCTTGAAGCTTGCTGGTTAGTTATAAAGAATGGAATAAATTCATTGTATAACCAATTTGTCGAAAAGTCAAGCCACATTGGTTCGACAAGGAATACGGTAAGCTGGTTAGGTAGCGGCGCAAGCTGTGGGACAAATTCCTTATCTCTGGCTCGGTCGATGACTATGAGGTATGTAAAAAGCAGCGAGATATTTGCAACAGTGTGAAAACTAGAAAGCGCAGGTATTTCGAAGAACAGCCTACAACGCAGCGAAAACCGTCCCGAAGAAAATCTTTGGGAACGTGAAGCGACGCCTAACGTAGACAGGTGATAGAGGATGCGAACGGACAGCCCCTAACCTCTAGCACTGAGAGTAGGTCCGCATTGACGGCGCACTTTGCTTCCGTTTGCAAACGACCAGGTGTCTGTACCGAGTTCGGCGTACACCACTCTTACCAACCTCGACAGTAGAATTGTGGTGTGGAAGAAATGCGTCGACTACTAGACATTCTTGATGACACCAAGTCCGTTGGGCCTGACGGGCCACAACCCCAGATTCCTAATTCCTTATCGGCCATCATCCCGCCTGGCGTAACTGACATGTTCAACAGGTCTACGTGCGAAGGCTCGTTGTCCAGTGATTGGAAATGCTCGGTGGTAAGGCCGATTCGAAAAGGTGGTGACCCCAGCAAAATAGACAACTTCAGGCCAATTTGTTTGACATCTATTTTGGCCAAGGTTGCAGAGAATATTGTGAAAAAGCGTTTGCTAAAGCTGCTCAGGTCAAAAGATCTTGGGCCCGCACAGCAAGGTTTCATGCCAGGTCGTTCATGAATCACCCACCTGCTCGTGACGAGGCATGAATGGTTATAAGCGGTGAACCAGGGGAAGTCGGTCGATGTGATCTACATCGAATTTAGCAAAGCGTTCGACAAGGCGAACCATGAGGTTCTCCTCCTCAAGGTGCTGGTGGATCTCTGCATCAGTGGATCCAGGACTTTCTCGTTGGGTGTAAATCGGTAGTCACCTAATCGACTGGTACCCTTCGATCAGTGGCGTACTACAAGGGACGGTGCTGGGGCCTACAATGTTCCTGATTTATATCAATGACCTACCACAGCTTCTTCGGTCGCCGTGTGTCCTGTTTGCAGAAAACCTAATTGAGGTTACCGCGGTTTCATTATAACATTTTGATTGATGTTGCTAAATTTTCCATGTATAGAACACTGTATGTTCCACTTGTTTTGTGTTTGCGACTGATGAGAACAAGCGAAATGTTGACATATCGCAACTTATGTCTGCTCACTGCTCTGATGAAAAGACCTAAACCGCCTTTCCATGTGGTCTGCAGTATTCCGGCTCCCGGTCAGTCCATCCAAGTCGCTATTCATGAGCCTGGGGAAGGGTGGTGACGGCCGAACGTACGCTCTCAACTGCGACATACCATACCTGTGAATGACCTAGGAGTACTCTCATGTTATGTGCGTTGACAACATGAACAGGCTATATCGTAACGGAATGCGCATGCTCCGGGCGCTCAAACGCACTTACTGTATCTGATATGAAGTGGCCACCATTCGCCTCCTCTTCTCCTCCATCATCAGGCTAATGCTAGAGTACCGCTCACCCGCCTATTGCCCAACCACTTGCGGAGAGGTGCATAAGATTGAACGGGTTTAATACGTCACCACCGGGCTCAATCCTAGTTTGCGAGGCTTACCGTACGAGGATAGGTGCGAGAGGCTGGGGCAGTACACGGTTGCGAGTTGACCTCATCATGACCTACCGTATCCTACATTTGATTTCCACATTTTAAGGCCTGTGCTCCATTTGCGAACGCCTTGGAGCACAAGTGAACACCAGTACATGCTTGTAGTTCCAGATCTGAAGCGGGTTTCCCATCCCCTGTGCTTGGAACCGCGAGTGACAAATTTCTGGAAAGGTTTGCCGGAACATATAGTGGAAGCGAACTAAGTATAGCATTTCCCAAATGTTAGATTCCGAGGATTACCCAATAACATCTAAGACTTGTGGGTCCAAATTTACTGTGTTATACTTTTGGTAATATCACATGAGAAATTGTAAAACGAGGGGGTGTTGACATGTCATGGACTGTTTTGGATCTGTTTAAAGTTTTTTGATGATATTCGATGATTGCATAGACCTAAGTTTCTACTAGCTCCCACAATACAGTAATCGGATAAAACGGTCATTTGGCGTGCATCGGTGAGGCAAATGGGGTGCGGTGCAGCTGCGGATGCTCAAGTGTCACCGTTTGGCGCCCGTGGGTGAGTAAACTCAGTGTGGCCTGAGTCAATCAAGGAACGAGGAACCTAAGTCACAAGTACGACAATGTACTGAGGCCGCTTAAGCGCACACAACAGCCTCCTAAGTGCTGATATCGTCATTACCACAGGTCTGCTTTCTTCATCGATATTGCATCCTTGCCAACATTGGATGCGCTAAAGTGCCAGTGAGTGATGTTATAGCCATAGTGCAGAGATGATTTTCGGGTATGGTGACGCTGAACACGAGTGCTTTTCGGGAGTTCTACGAAGACGATGGAAATGGATGCGCGGACATGAGGGAATAGAAGCGCAAGTTGTTCCTGTTGAAACCGTTATGTCCCGTACAGGTAGTCACTGGCTATGGGCTGAATTCTGTGTGCGAGTGGAAATGGAAAAACAGAAAATTGCACTGTCTGTGCAGTAAAACAACGTTGTAGTAATCCGTCGAAGTAGGAAATGCGGGCACCAGACTACGCATTCGGTACGAGCGGAGTTTGGGACTGCGGGAAAAACATCTCTGACATCGAAGATCATTGTGGTAGAGGCCTTTCATAGTCCCAGGCACAGAGGGACGTTCTGCAGTGACTACGGTGTATCATACTTCTGCCTAGTAAGCAGTGCATTGACGTGTACAATAGATGGAGGACAATCGAGAGTTTGGTGCTTACCACAAGAGCCTGAATGAGTCGTACCACGGCAGCGTGGACATCGGCCGCAACATTTTTGGAAAGTTCCAATAATTGGTTCAAGAAACCAACTAATTTGGCAGCATTTGGTGTGCTGGAGCCAACAGGATGACCGGAGCTGGTACCTGTAAAGTGAATGGGATGGTGGTGAGATGAGGATCGATGGACTGCAATATTTCTATGTGGAGTGGAATGGCCAAAACTAAACAAACTAAAAACGGTGGAAGGGGGCGGGGCGGCGCACCACCACGACGGACAAACAAACACGTAACAATACAACGAGATTGGGGACACATACTTGGAGAATACTGATGCGGCTCGAGAAAGTACTCGTAGTCTAAGGAAGAGTGGGAGTCACATAGGATGAGATAGACCAATTGGAAACGCTAAATGTGGGTGAATAGACACGTATGCATGATAGCATTAGTATAAAGGGTCTATGGTATATTGCGTCAAACCAGCGTCCGCAAAACAGCAAACGTCAACGTTGATCAAAAACGGTTGGAAAAGTCAGGATTGTGGAGCAACAGATAAACAGGATTTCTTGGCTAGCTTAGAAATCGTTCCCACCGTTCTGCACATTGATGACATAGGTTTCACGCAACCCAATCGCCCTCATTCTTGACATGCTGATATGTGGGCGAGTTCGTTCACATGCTTAAGATGGGCGAGCAATAATTGGCCCACAAATATCATACAACTTTCTAAGCGACCAAGCTGAATGCAACTCGGTTAATCAATCACAGTGCGCAACCCACAGTGCGAATGATCCGACCTCCGTTAATCATACGGTCATCCAAAGAGGATGAACGCGAAATGAGCTTAACACGAAACGGATGTAAAGAATGGCGCAATAACTAGGTAGTAGAAATGGGAGTATAAGAAGAAGAGATCGAAAGTACGAGGTTAGTGCTTCCAACCCCTAAGATGATTGGTCACGAGATAAAATGCTAAAATTGAGGTCTGAAGTCGTGGAAACAGGCAGCGTGTTTAGACCCTCACTGGGACGGCATCAATTCAAAGAAAGGATATTCTTGCGTCGTTCGCTTACAACCAACGACAGTGATTTTTACCAAAAAGCTGTCGGCTTGGTGGACACCAATTCTGAGAGTAACGTTGGTAGCAGTGGTCGGCAAGTCGCTGACAAGCGAGCAAGATGGGATTGGAATACCAACTGTGTGAATGTGTTGGAACAATCCTAAAGTGGTTCGGGATATAACAAGTAAAAATAAAGCAAATCGCCAGCTGTACGCCGTAACGGCGCTTCACTGCCACGCGACCACCACCAGTCGCTCGTGGGCTGAGTATACCGCGAGGACGCCCACCCCTAGGCGGATTCGAACTAGTGACCTTGTGATTGCAAACCAGACGCGTATACCACTCGGCCACCGGGCGACCGGGATATAACAGCATCTTATCAAATGCATACTCTGATATTTCAGGGGAGTAGGTTTCTGACGATGTACCCAGTCACCAATCCGCTTTGTTTTGGCTAATCACGCAGATGGGTTGGTGGTAAGGGGAACCCGGTGACCCGTAATAGGCACATTTGCTCTGGACATCGATGCCCAATATGGTTCCAAAGGGTCGAATGATAAATTTAAAAAGCTGAAAATTGAGCAGTTTCCGTGCGCGGGAACGACTTTGATCAATCATTTTAGAAGTTAACAGGGTCACCCAGATACAAGTGTCTACTTTCACGTGTATTCCATATTCCTTCGTTCGGTTTCCATGACGACAGAAGTTGGAAGATTCGTAGTATCGGTTCCTTGTACAAAGGGCATGTCTGAATGGAGTAAAATAAGAAAACCGGGATGCGCATAAGACTATGGATTTTCGTGTCCGTGCCGCTGATAGGTGTCATACCTTACTTTGTTGCTGTTTTATCTTCTTCTAGACCCATTTATTGTCTGGGCCGTGGTCAACGTTCACCGTGTCATTCAGTTCAGTTCAGCTCAGATTATCAATCCGGATATCGAGGTGCGGTGGATCCAGTCACTTTGATCCACTTCACGAAAATCATTTTAATTCAAAAAAGAATTCAGTTTAATTCAAAGAACGCGTCAGATGGAAGAGTCAAAGGCCCGGATTGTAGGGAAAAGTGCAAGAGCGCGTCATTTGCGACATGGTACACAACCACTAAGATGGTCATCGAGGAAGACGACAAGCAACAAATCGAGTCAGCCTTTCGGTAAATTTTTTTGACTATCCACTTCGAAGTTTCGCCTAAGCACCGTATTGGCAAATAATACAATTCACGGCAGTCGGATCGTGGACACGCACAGCATTTAACCGAGCTACCAAAGTTGATTCGAGTGCAGCGGGCAGTGGAACACTTGTCTGCAAATGCCAGACGACAAACTTTGTGTAACTCACTCAGCATTTCCACTAGGTCTGAGCAAAACTGCAGGCAGCGATCTTCAAATCCGGTAAGTTTCCCAACTTCCTCAGTGGTCGAGGCCACGTTAGTGACCCACACAGAAACATCGGATAGACCATAGCCTTCCCGACAGGTACCCACTCCGCCTTTTTCATTTGCGATCGAGGCTTTGGAAAGCCGGTTGAGCCGCCGCAATGAGTATGATAATCGTTTCGGTGAGATGAGGGTCAGACGCGATACAGCTGCCAGCAGTTCCGTCTCGATCCGTGTTGGCTGTGAAAACTAAAGTCTGACTTGATACTGCTGTACAACCTGAGTCATGGCAAGGCATATAGAGATGTACCCACATTTACATGACAGTACAGTTCCACTTGGGACCTTCGTAACAAAGACACTACCTTGGTTATACCTCAATGCAGGACAAATGTGCGGTCGAACTGTTCTCCAATCAGATATGCTGCTCTGGGGAATCAGCTCCCAATCACAGTCAGGTCGTATAAGAGTGCGCAGTCATTTCTCAGTAAGTTAGGAAGCTACCTCGATCTGGACACGAGTACGACCTCTTGCTCGTGGGGGAGGTAACATACGGATCTATTTAACGAAGGCCCAGATAACGTCTAATGGGTGGAATACCGAAACTTTAGGAAATGTAAGTAACCCTGTGTTTATAGTATCTTCAAAGTGCATCAATGACTTTCACATTCGCGTGAAACAAAAACGTGTAAGACATATACATCTCCAGAAACAGAAAATATAAGAATACAACTTCATATCGTCCATACAACAGCATGGTATTACCTGCAGATATATTTAATCTGTGCCAAATATGGACGCAGCTTCTCACTTCATGAAATATACCCATTAATACTACCACTGTTATCATTATTATTGTTATTAATAATAATAATAATATTATTATTATTATTATTAGTAGTAGTAGTAAATGAACGACGGCGAGTGATTGTCCAATGAGTGAGAATCGGTGGTTAATCGGTCAGGGTGGTGAAAACGATCGCTAAACATCAATTTTTCAGAAGCGATAGCATTGAAAACAGCCAAATTAAGAAGTTGCTACGGAGAATCGCATTTATATGCACTATAACCAAATTTTCTTAGTGGAAATATTCGGTGTTATTCCAACACTGGCACACTGGGTTCTCCGAGTACAAGTTTGAAACTTTCTTAGACCATAAGGTGTGAACTGGGACTGATGATAGTAAAATTCGTTGATAACACACAACAACGGTCTAAGTAGACGAACGAGAAAGACCATTAATAAGCAACAAGCAGAAGCCATACACGTAGAATAGTAGTAAAGTATTCGAGTTTGGAGTGAGATCTGATGAATGATACAAAGACAGGTTGAAATCTCACTACTCAGTTCCGTTACAAGTAGTCAGAAAAGTTCAAAATAGGTTGCTATGATAGAGGAGGATAGACAATCGCCGTTAGGTTGAAACTTACGGGAAAAAACTGCGGAACCGGTGACTACGCCATTGCTGACCGCGGCCGTTTGTCCACCGGCACAACTACGCACTTGCATTACGCTGGGTGCATTGGAAAGACCCGATTTCGGGAGTAGATAAACAGGATTAACCATTGGAGCTCGAGTGAACTGGGGGGAGCGGAGGAACAGGAATGGAAATACAGTTGGGACTAATTGGTGAGCGTACTCTCATAGAAAAAGAAATATCTCCAGAAAAAACGGACGTGTGACATGTCAGAGAGGTGGAAGGGATCACCAGTTGGAGTACGCAATGGCAACATGCAGTACAAAAACCGGTTTAAAAAGCTCGTAGAATATGTAGTTCTGAATGTCTGATCTGAAATGCGACTCATTACACAGAAGCTACGAGCAAAGAGTGACCATGCAGCCTTTATTGAACATCACCATCGCGCGACAGAAGATAACAGAAAATTCCCATGCTATGTCAAAAATCGCCTTCGCCTCCGTTTGACATTCAATGGAAATGTCGCGGCTAAGCAAGTTGAGCGATATGTAGCCACAGCAATTCGAAGACATCCGGTGCTACCAAATTGTGTTCACTTTGGACAAACAAGAAGTCACCAACGCCTCTGGTCAAGCTTCCTTAACCGATCTCCGCCACATTACATTGCATTTACCACTTCGTCTGTGTCTTAGGAAGTAGTTACATCGGCAGAACAGATCGGCGCCTGCGTAAGCGAATTAGAGAGCATACCAGGAAATGAGTTGCTGCTACTGCGACAAAACAAACACGGGGACAGGTGTCTAGCTCAAAAATGAAAGCCTCATCGATCGCTAAACATCAACGCAGTATAGGTCATCAGGCTAACTGTGACGGGGCTGTTACGATTTACCACAATACGAAGTCCAAGATATGCAAACTTATCGAGACTGTGGCTATTAAGTATAATCGTCTGGACCTCTGTGTGTAAAAACAGCTGTGTTATATGCAAGTATCCTTAAGAATGGTGATACTCGTTTCATAACTTGTGAATCTGCTGTGGTACGTGGATTAATGCAACGTTTTATTTTCTGACAGTATCCAGATAAATGAATTTTCCTTCGGTTATCGTCAAGTATATTCCTAGTGTGCATGTAATCAGAGAGCAAGAAATGTTTTGAAACACACGCAATACTTCGAATTATAGATATTCAGATGAGAAAGAGGCAAAATAAGGCATAGAAGCCATACCGAACCAGTGCTCCTCTGCCACGCAACCACCAGCTAATTTGGTAACACTTGGAATTAACACATACATATACTTGTAAAGAGTACGAATACATAGATAGGTACGCGATTTCGTTAGAAATCCTGAACTCAAAAGTCAGGTGCTATACGAACGATAAGTGATAAATAAACGTATGCGAGCGTCAGCAGTTTAGAAAGGTCTGTTCGGCGATGAGGAGGCAAATTTACGCACCAAATGCAACAGGTCAACATTTAATTCGTTTAAATGTGTGTTTGACGGAATTTATGAAAGTAGGAGCACTTACGGAGTGCACTAGAAGAAACACAGTGGCAGATCACGACAGGACACTTAACAGGCCGACACTCTAGGATTAACCGACAAGAATCAGTGCATGCACTAGACTGAGGCGTGAGTCAAAATAAAGGGTTGAAGATGCTCAATCTTAGACCAGTCCACGTAATTAACAATGGCCCAATGATAGAGGAACAAGTGGATCCGGTCGCAATGAATTATGCCGCCAAGGTAATGCAAGAAAAATGAGAGGGGTATGAAAACGTACGGAAAAGATGAAAACGAGAGCAAGAAAAGGGCATTTAAAAGTAAAAGGGCGATAAACGCTCAATGAACGCATTGAAAATAATAGGCCGTACATCGAGGAGTCGGTCAGGAAAGTCGTGAGCAAAGGGGTACAAGACCCCATGGATGGAAAAAACCAATTAGGTTAACGCGCGTGGACAGCATATCCATATCCGTCAATCACGACAACTTGTGATTGCATTCCAACGTGTCACATCGATGTACAATAATGGCAAACAACTTACGGCGAAGAAGGGGGACAGCAGCTAGGCAAAGATCCCGGTTCAAAAACCCAAGCCATCCTAGTTCAATAGACATTCTGGTACGTCAACATAAGGCCGGATGTTAAATGAAAACAGGGGGATTTTGACAAGAGGCATGGTACAACTGATAGAATGGAATAAGCATCTATAGACCCCATCAATCAACGGCGATTATTATCTCACTATATACAGCACACAGCGACTCTATGAGTGCAGCGTTCTTACACTAGATGAAGGGAGGCGTTGTACGACGTAAACAGTAGGCGCTTGCCATACTTGTGTGAAGATGCTCGATTGTTTCACACGCACGATGGTTTCCGACACATCACTCATTGAAGAGTGACATGCCGCTCACCATTTTCCAGGGACGCGAACTGACCACGTCACGATCATCTACCGTTGGAGGCTGTGTCGAAAAACTGTCGCCCGAGTTGGAGCACGAGCGTGGACACCGGCAACGCACTTGTATGTGCCGATGTGCGGGTGCACATCGGCGAACGTCTGCGACGACACTGAGCGCATGAACACCAGCTAACTGGCGAAGCCAGACGTTCAGAATGCGTATCAAAGTACGCTGGCATCCGGACTGAGTAAACACCCACTTCATCATCATCATCAATACATGTTATCCGATGGTGAGAAACACACCTCAGCTGTGTTGCAATAAATAGATTAAACATTACAGAGTACAAAAGCCAAAAAGGTAGCATAATGGCAAAAGCACATTATGCCTTGGGTTGAGATTGTTGTTAGAGGGGGAAGCTAAAAAGGAGGGGAGGAACAAAAAAACCCACAACACAGACACCACTGAATACAACTGAAGATCCTTGGGCGCATATTCGCCAGAGATTAGTATCAGCAAGTATAGCTTTATGTGGCAAATCAAATTGCTAATCTGGACATTGGGTCTCTACGCAATCTCATCAACTTCTGGATGCATGGTGACGTACCGGCTTGAAGCGAACACGAGATTCTCAAAGATCTCAAAGCAAAACCGCGCGCTATCCTAAAACGAGACCGCGAAACCTGGTGGTGGTGGCCACTGCCCTCGGTAATCATAGTAAGTTATTCCATCGTATACTCGTAACATGCAGCAACAGACCTGGTATCAGCAAGATCACAGGCGACGAGAATGGACAGCCAATCCCAATTATGCCAATAGGCTTACAGGGTTGGACCGAACAATTAAGAAAACAGTTTAATTAGTAGTTACTGTCTTCCTCAAGTGCCACTGATTATCCATCTAACTGGGCGTCCCTTTGGATCCGCTCTTACACTCATAAGTTTAACGTGAGATAAGACAGTTGAAAATTCGGGAAACCATCTCTAGCGGATGAATTACACAACTTATCAGTAAATCTGTGGGAACAGAGACTGTCCCAACAGAATGGGGCCGCTCCATTATTACCACAAATTGTAAAAGGTGTTCACATTCCGAATGTGGCGATCATAGATGAAGCCGTCTGATCTCAACTGCCTTTAACTTTACTGTCGTCCTACATAGACTGGCAGCCATCAAAACCAGATTCGCGGGGAGCAAGTCGGACTTCGCTGAAATCGCCTGCACTGACCATATCTTTACTTTGTCAGTTAGTGGAACACCACTATTTTTACTGATGACTCGCCGTAATCATGTTCCTGGACATCAAAAATATATCAGCTTCGGTGGATCGATGTACCCATTACAATGCAGCCGTCCGTTAAACCTTCCTGCAAGGATGCGAAATCTGGCCCATTAGATCGATAGACATAAAGAGGCTAGTTAGGTTCGACCATCGCTGCCTTCGCAGCTTAGCTCATGTGTGGTGAAAACACCATGTTAGTAATCAGCGTGTTCGGGCGTCGCGTATCTGGTGCAGGAATAGCGAGTGAACCGCTCAGCACCGTTATATCATGCGCCAGGCTCCGACGGCTGTGCCATGTGCTGCGCATACCAGTAAACTGACTGCCGCATCGTGTGGCATTTGCACGACCGGGGTGTGGATGGAACAAGAGGGTATGTCAAGCGATGACTTAGTCAAGATGATTGAAGACCCACACTTCGAATTTGGAGTTGGTTCACGATGTCCCTCAACTGCCGGGTTGGGGTCCGAAAGACGATGAACAGGTCTGGCTGGATATACTGATTGATATGGCAAAGACAATAGTGTCTGTGTTATGAGTTAGATTGTCCTCCCATTCCCGTTTATCTTTTCTCTCCAACCACAATGTCACACTTGATGGGTAAGGTGACACTAAGCATCATAGTAGGTTTTTCGGTTTTGTACTTATATCCATACGTCTTCTTTTCTGTACTGGGGCACATTGGAGGAAGTGTATTTATTACACCAACTAACGTGTACTCATAATGAGGATGTGTCCACTGGGGCTGTCTACACAGCAAAGGTGTGTTCGTTAAAGAGAAAAATGGCATAACAGCGCTGGGCGCGTACAGTCCTGGCAGAGTAAGGGCTTATGGCAAACTCTCGCTGCCCTTCAATATCTCCAGCGGTGAGGCATGGTTCCCATCTGTCACCTTTCCTCTTTAACTTCGACACTGGCGAAGTCAAGGAAACAGTGTTCACTGGGCACGACCTGTAAGGTATAAAGCTGCTTCCTGGTAAGCGACTTCTTGAAATGGAGTACGCCGACGACACTGCAATAACCTATGACAGCTCACAAAGGTGCAAAGCAACACTGGACAGAGTATCACTGGTTGTCAAACATTTTTGACTATGTTTTGTACCGTCGAAATGCAAAGTCTTTCTCCAAGATTGGTAGGGACCCACCTCTGTGCTGACCCTTGATAGTGATCAGCTAAAAGTCGTCCAGAAATTCAAGTATCTAAGTAGCTATAATCGCGCCCTTGGGATGGAAGATGGGGTCACGAACCGTATAGCAAAAGCTCAAGACACCGTTGCTAATCTACGCCATCTGCAACACCGGCGCGACATTACTTTTGCTCTGACGAGCAGAATTTACAATGCAGCCGTTCGTTCAACCCTCCTGTACGGTTGTGAAACCTGGCCCATCACGCTGACAGACTAGCTATGTTGCACAATCGCGGTCTTCACAGCTTGTTTGTCTGGTGGGAACAGATCATGAGCAATGAACGTGTACG